TGGTATGTGGACATATGCTCCTCTAATCGTCCTTGCTGACTGAATTATTTATGAGGTATGGACTACCATGGCTAACCAAACCTATATTAAACTCCATTCCTATTTATTTATGATTTTGAAACTATTAATTTGTCTTTAAAACAAACTAGTAATCAATCATGTATATATATGTACAAGTATAAATAAAGATACATAAGTCATACATTTGGATATTATATTAATAACTAGAAATTATATAATATGCATACCACATTTTATACATTCTGTTATTAGTAAAAATGAACATTATAATTATAAATTATTTTACTTATATATGAATCATTAAAAAATGAGAATGGTAATATGAATTTTAAAATAATTAACTTGACGAAAAAATTTTGTTATAAATATTTCTATAAGTGTATAACTTCCTTAGACTTTTATTGTGAATTTATAATTAATATGAGTAATAATTATTATATGATAAATAAGTAAAAAAATATGTTTTACACTTAATTAATATAAAGTGTAATGGTGAAATTAACTTTTAATTTTTATTTAAAATAAATGTCAACATTAACTCAATAATTGAATTGTAGTATACTAATACTAGACCCTCCTCACTCTTTATTAAAGGGAATTTATTGCTATACCAAGTGACTGCTCTAATAAATATTATGTTTGAGAGAGGAAAATAAAAGAAAAGGTTTAGGGCCACTAGAGTCACCAATTGTTTGTACTTATGATAATGAACTACTCAACTCAAGTTATTGGATGTACCACTTTTTTTTCACTATATATTTATTTATTTTTTTGTTTGTTTGTTTTACTAATGCACACTTGTGTTTAAATTGTCAAATGAAATTATTATTTATTCTAACAGATGTGGCAATTTTTACCAAAATGCAGCTGTAGGTGTTCCTGTAGGAGCTCTTGCACCAAGTGAGGCCCCTTCATATGGTATGCTATCCCCACTTTTTCTTTTTCAAACATTGTTTAAGCTTTAGAGGGAATGGGCCCAGGGAAATTTCATCAATAAATACTATATGACTATAACATTTGTTATTTTTCAAGAATTGCTATACTCAATTTTAATTTTTGACTAGTGCTAATGTAGAATAAAGAATTTTATACAAGTAGAAAAAGTTTTAGAAAGATAAACATATAAATTTTTGCTTCAAAGTTTATAATATTTATTTAAAAATATATACTATTAGTTTCATGAAAACAATGCACATTACTCGTCAAATAATAATTCTTTATTACAAATAATTTGAACTATTTTGTGTTACATTGGATTTATCTTGCTAATTATATTATAGTATGAGTTTATATATTTATGTATGATCTATAAATTTGACTCTTAAAGACATCTAAATTCTTGTGAGTGTTTTTGTTTGAAAAAGTCTGGTGATAATATACATGCCTTAAAACATAAAATAATCTTGGTTTTTTTCCTGTAGGAGCCCTTGCATCAAGTGAAGCCCCTTCAGCAGGTATGCTTTCACCACAGCAAATGTTACTATGAAACTGTTTAAGGATGGACAGTTATAATTTTTTAACAAAAATGCGGACTTATACTATAAATTGTCCTACTTTAAATTTATGTTATTGTTTAGAGTATGACATAAATATTAAAATATGTACATCTACTGCAAAAATTATAAAAAGGTAATGGTTAGATAGTCTAATCTCTACATTATTATTTAGTCACATATTGCAATAAAAACAATATTGACACCATTAGTTGTACTTAGAATTTGTTGTTAATACATGTTGTAGGTGGTGGGTCAGTAGCAGCAAGCCCAACTCCAGGAGATGGACAAAATGGAGGCTCAAGCAATTTAGGCTGTAGCTTTAAGTCCCTCATTGGATTTGCAGCTCTTGTTATCATATATTCTTTTTAATCTATTTAATGTTTTCCTAATTTCATATACTCATGATATCTTTAGTTTTCATAATTTCCTTCATTTATATTTGTTAGCTAGATGTGGTATGTTCAGCCATTCTCAGTATTATTATGACCTTTTGAGTTTGATTCACATTTGAAATTTTGTTCTGATTTTTATTCTCTAGAATAAGATGAATTAAAATAAAAGTAAAAGGACACAACTGCATGTAGTTCGTCTAATTCATTCTATCACAGTCAATCACATATACTATTAGATAATTGGACAAGAATTCAATGAACAAATTACTGTAAAGAGATTTTATAGTTCGATCGAGAGAGAAGCGGATGAGACTCGAGCAATAAAAATAGAAAAAACAAAAAGTAAGTACAATATACCCTAGATAACCCTATTTATAGGGTTGTAAACCAAAAGCGCTAAAGCAAATTCCTATACTAATAACGTGTTTTACAATGATATGAGTTTAAAATGTAATATATATTCTAATATCTTCTCGCAAGAGGAACATGAATGTTAATCATGTTCATCATAAAAAGGCAGCTATTGAAAGAATGTGGACTTTTTAGGACTTTGGTAAGTATATCACCCATTTGTTCTTGTAAGGCAACATGTTGAAGATTGATGATTCTTTTAGTTAACCTTTCTCTAATTAGGTGGCAGTCGATCTCGATGTGTGTGGTCATCTCATGGTGACTAGATTCTTAGCAAGGGAAATGATGTGTGTGGTCATCTCATGGTGACTAGATTCTTAGCAACGGAAATGGTAGATTTACTGTCAAACAAAAGTAAAATTGGATAAGAGTGAGAAATATGCAAATCATGGAGTCCAGACCAATCACTATCAAGACGAAGATTGAGATCGGGATAAAAAATCACAATCGATATCTATATCAAAAAGAAAATCTAATGAAAATCGAATATTCAACAAAAAACGGATTTACATAATATACAATCCGACTATAAAATCGGATCAAAAGTCAAAGTTTGTCAAACAGTGAAATTCAGCGGAATATAGCGTGGCAAAATATACAGCAAAAATAATAGTAACATCATGATCAAAAGCATATAACATAACCGTGAATTTTCTGGTCAACAGTATAAACCGGACCGGGATCCGTGAATCTACCGGCTGCCATGATAATAATGATAATGATGATAACAATGATTGACGGAATCCATGTGCACATACTAGTGGTAGATGACGCCACTAGAACTTAGAACGGAATTATGGCAACCTGAACCGGCCAACATCCATTCCAAGCGGAAAACATGATTGACATACCTTGAACATGATATCGTAATTATAATCAATGTAATACCCAGTCTGAGTCCCCACATGTACTGTAAATATGAACTGGAAGTGCTGATATCCGTGAACCTTCACAGTCCGAGGTAGTCGCACAGTTTCGCGACTATCATCCGGAGAAGTTTTCCGGTCAGGGAGATCCCCGTACCGTTGATGAATGGGTTCAGGGCCTTGAAACGATTTTCGAGGTCATGGACTGTCCCGAGCGCTATCGTGTTTTATGCGCTCAAATCCAATTAACCGGTGATGCACGACTTTGGTGGCACGCCTACTGGGGTATGTGTCCTGGTGAGAAAGAAAACTGCACGTGGGACATGTTGAAAGAGTTAATTCGCGACAAGTATTATCCTCCTTACTACAAAGCCTAAATGGAGCGTCAATTTTTGGCCCTTAAACAAGATACTCGGACAGTGGACGAGTATGAGAGAGATTTCACTCGACTCGGAGCTTTTGTACCTGACTTGATGACTACAGAAGCAACGAGAACGAGACGTTTCATCGACGGGCTTATTCCAGTAGTCCGTCACAACATCATGGGTCATGGAGTCCAGTCCTATGCCCGTACTGTTACCATTGCAGGAGAAGTTGATGCCAGCATACGAAGGGAAGCCAACCGTGATCGTCTTCAGCCAATTTCTTCCACTTTATCATCACCAACACCACAAGTTCAACCTGCAGCTGCCCAACAACAAAGATACAAGAACAAGAGGAAGAACAGGGGAGGCCCAGATGACCGCAGGAACCGTCAGCGACAGCAGCAACCTATACCACCCTGCCCCACATGTGGAAAGATTCACTGCGGAGATTGCTTGATGGGCCAGAACACTTGCTACTATTGCCGACAGCCTGGTCACATCCGACCGAACTGTCCACGACTGCAACAACAACTTCAACAACCTGAACAACCTCAACAACCTCAGCAGCCCAGACAGCAGCCACCGAGACAACCTCAACAACAGCAACGCGGGAGACAGCCAGCACATGTCTATGCAGTCAATCAAGCGGAAGCAGCTCAACACCCAGGTACCATGTCTGGGATGATTATACTTAATGATGTTCCTGTTTTCGCTTTATTCGATACCGGTGCAACACACTCTTTCATTTCACGACGCTGTCTTGACACCATTGGAGTTCGTACTATTTCTGCTGTCGATCCTCTCGAGGTGAGTCTAGCCTCGGGAAGAAAGATGGTAACTGATGCTAAAGCAACCAATCTCAGCCTTTCTGTCGGTGGGCGTGTCTTGCCTACCGAAGCTTATGTTCTTGAGATGAGGGATTTCGACCTCATTCTCGGCATGGATTGGTTAACATATTTTCATGCAGATATTCGATGTCACGACCAGGAGATTACTCTCTATCTTCCGGGAGATGATTCTATTACCTTTTATGGCTCCAAGACTCGTGCTTTACCACATGTTATTTCTATGGCGAAAGCCAAAAAAATGTTACAGCGTAATGATTGCCAGGGTTATCTTGTAAGTCTTGTCAGCGATGAACCGAAAGCACGAACACCTCACGATGTTCCTATTGTTTGTGAGTTCGTGGACGTGTTTCCAGACCAACTTCCAGGAGGACCACCTAACCGACAGGTAGAGTTCTCTATTGATCTTATTCCAGGGGCCGGTCTTGTGTCCAAAGCACCATACCGCATGGCGCCGAAGGAGTTACAGGAGTTAAAGACTCAAATTCAAGAATTACTCAAACTCGGTTTCATTCGGCCAAGTGTTTCACCTTGGGGAGCACCCGTTCTCTTTGTCAAGAAGAAGGACGGATCTATGCGCATGTGTATTGATTACCGGGATCTTAACCGGTTAACTATCAAGAATAAATATCCGCTTCCCAGAATCGATGATTTATTTGATCAGCTGAGGGGAGCTTGTGTATTTTCTAAGATTGATCTCCGTTCAGGCTACCACCAGCTGAGAATCAAAGAGTCAGATATCCCTAAAACTGCATTTCGTACGCGTTACGGTCATTATGAGTTCGTAGTATTGCCGTTTGGGCTCAGTAATGCCCCGACAGTATTCATGGACTTGATGAACCGTATATTTTACCCTTATCTTGATCAGCTTGTTATTGTTTTTATTGATGATATTTTGATCTACTCGAAGAGCCAGAAGGAACACGAGGAGCACTTGAGGGTTGTTCTTGAAACCCTTAGGCGAGAAAAGTTATATGCAAAATTCTCCAAATGCGAATTCTGGCTCGAGCGAGTTATCTTCCTTGGTCATGTTATTACGCAGGTAGGTCTTGAGGTTGATCTATCCAAGATATCTGCTATTCAAAACTGGTCCAGACCCAAGAATCCATCCGAGGTCCGTAGTTTTCTCGGTTTGGCGGGTTACTATCGCAGGTTTATTGAGGGATTTTCCAATATTGCCCTCCCATTATCTCAATTGACGAGGAAGTCTGTCACATTCAAGTGGACTGATCGCTGCGAGTCCAGTTTTTAGGAGCTCAAGAGGAAATTGACCACTGCACCCGTGCTAATTATACCAGATCCTACTCGGAGTTTCACCATTTACAGTGATGCCTCGAGACAGGGTTTGGGATGTGTTCTAATGCAGGATGGCCAGGTCGTTGCTTATGCCTCTCGTCAATTAAAGCCGCATGAACAGAATTATCCTACACACGACTTGGAACTTGCAGCAGTGGTGCATGCCCTCAAGATTTGGCGACATTATCTGTATGGCGGCAAATGCGAAATTTTCACTGATCATAAGAGCTTGCAATATATTTTTACTCAGAAAGAGCTCAACATGCGTCAGCGACGTTGGTTAGAACTCGTGAAAGATTATGATTGCACCATTCAATATCATCCGGGGAAAGCGAATGTTGTAGCTGATGCCCTAAGCCGCAAGGTGAAGGGTGATTTGACTTACGTCGTTACTCAGCAGAACCATCTTATCCAAGAATTCGCTCGGATGCAAATTCAGATTGTTGATGCACTTCCTACGGCGATTATTGGGAGTGTTAATGCTATGCAGGTTCAACCAACGTTAAGGGAGAGAATCCGGCGGGAACAGATGTCTGATGAATTTATTCGTGTTATTAATTCTAAAGTCCGTGCCGGAGGTGTCGAAGGTTTCCAACTGGGTTCGATGGAGCCTTAGAATTTCAAGGCAGAATCGTGGTGCCGAAAGTCGAAGCATTTCGAAAGAAAATTTTGTCTGAAGCTCATACCGCACCTTATTTAGCTCATCCGGGAAGTACGAAGATGTATCATGACCTGAAGAGATCGTTCTGGTGGCGTGGAATGAAGAAGGACGTTGCCGACTTTGTAAGAAAATGTTTAACCTGTCAACAAGTCAAAGCAGAACACAAGAGTCCCTTGGGCCTTCTGCAACCACTCGAGATTCCGAAGTGGAAGTGGGAGGAAGTCACGATGGATTTCGTTACAGGGCTACCGAAGTCATCTAAACATCACGATGCTATCTGGGTCGTGGTGGATAGATTGACTAAGGTTGCTCATTTCATGCCAGTATCGATGAATATGTCTTTGGACAAACTAGCCGAGATTTATACCGAGGGAGTTGTTCGACTCCACGGAGTGCCTGTTACTATTGTGTCAAACAGGGATCCCAGATTCACTAGTAGATTTTGGGAAGGTTTGCACAAGGCGATGGGCACAAAATTAGAGTTTAGTTCGGCTTATCATCCAGAGACTGACGGACAATCCGAGCGGACTATTCAAACACTGGAAGATATGTTGCGGTCTTTGGTTGTTGACAGGGGTGCTAACTGGGAGTCGTTATTACCATTATGTGAATTTGCTTATAATAACAGTTATCATTCCTCCATTCAAATGGCTCCTTATGAAGCACTATACGGTCGTAAATGTCGTTCCCCTCTTTATTGGGATGACGTCGGTGAACGCCGAATACTTGGTCCGAGCTCGATCGCGGAAACGGCGGCAGATGTAGAACTGATCAGACAAAGACTTCAGGCAGCTCAAAGTCGGCAGAAAACGTCAGCCGATCAACACTGACGTGATATTCAGTTTGAAGTTGGGGAGCGAGCCTTTCTTAAAGTTCGTCCATTCCGAGGGATCATTCGATTCGGAAAAAGAGGAAAGTTGCATCCTCGTTATATTGGCCAGTTCGAAGTTCTCGAACGAGTGGACGAAGTTGCTTACCGTTTAGCTTTACCTCCTGAATTATCCAATGTTCATAATGTCTTTCATGTGTCCATGTTACGTAAATACGTGTGCGATCCAGATCATATTTTTCAGCATACCGATATTCAGATTCAGCCAGACTTATCTTACAAGGAGAAACCGGTAGCCGTTTTGGACCGAGAGGTTCGTCGACTCCGGAATTGCGAGATTCCCCTCGTTCGAATTCAGTGGGATCGCCACGGTGCCACTTGGGAGCGAGAAGCTGATATTCGCGCCCGTTTTCCTGATTTTCAGTTTTGATGTATATATTTCTCATGTATCATGTATAGGTGCTCAGTTTGATATTTCCGAGGACGGAAATATTTTATGGGGGGTAGATTGTAATAGCCCATTTTTACCTAATGTAAATTACGTACTTAGCTTCGTAATGTTCATATTATTTTCGGAATCCAAAGTATAAGTCAATTTATGTTCAATCGCCCGATAAAAATATTATCGAATTAAATCATATTTAATCGAGCGATAAATGTGCTAATCTTGCACTAATCGTGCATAATCATACGCATAATCGTACTTAATGGTTCCTTAAGTACCTCAATTATGTTCATTTTAAGCCTAAGTAATCATTCTACTATCATATGTCCTTAAACATTTCTCATGGCACGGCTAGGGTGCTTAATTTTCTTCTAATCGCCTTAATCTAGAGTAATCACGCATAAACGAGCCCTAAGCGTGCTTAAATGTTTAATGAACTTAAGTGGACAAAAGATTGGAGCAAATCACGTGATATCTATCATCTTTAGCACAAGTGGCCTTCTTGTGCCAAGTATGTGATGACTAAGCTAGGAAAAGTACACCTAAGGCCCTAAGCACGCGGAAAATGGCACGAGCTCATTGGTCATGAGCTTTACCTCACGTTTTTCCCTCTTTCACCGCTATACAAATCCAACGTTGGGACATATTTTTAGTACATAACCTAAGCATTCTCCTAAGCAAACTCTAAACAAGATTAAGATCTTTTAAACTCAACTTACCGTACGCGCGCAAGAAGAAGAAAAAGGGCCAAACCATCATCAACATCTTGTCAAGTTTCTTCGGGCAATCAAAGGGTAATATGATTCCAACCCTGTTATGATGTTATATATATCATGCCAAGGTCAAATTATAGGTCTAAGTTCATGTAATAATCGAAAACGCTCTCGGGTGTGCATTTTAGGGCCATATCAAATCATCTCTTTATGTAGCCAACTTCTCTCGAGCAAACCATGCATCATTAGTCTTTATTTAATGTGATATGTTCAGTTTTAAAAGATGGCACGAGATAAGTATTCATTTTGTTGATGAAATGGCTAAGGGAAGTGGACCGCGCACGGGCCGTGTCTTACCCTATTAGGGTATCTTTTATTGTGATCAACTTTGTTAGGGACATTTGTGTTCCAACAGCCCTTAAATGATAAAATATGGTCAATGAACTCATGTTGCTCGAGCAAAGTTCCTGTTTGGTCGAGGGTACACGTTAAGGCCGTCGAACGCGCCTATCGCGCACGCCGTGGCCAATCACATCAATTTTCATGTTATTATCATGACCCTCAGACCCATATATGTATAAATGTGTTAATCATGTCAAGTTATGTCATATTGGTCAAGGTAAGTGGCCGAATGGCCGTCAAGGGCCGGTCACGACATGCTGCCGCACATAGCGGCCGTGCACGCTGGCCGGCAGTGCTGCCCGAGCAATCAATTGCCCCGGGACGTGCCCAACAGCACGCCCGCGTGCCCAGGGTCGCCCGGCAGCGCCCTGACAAGTCTTAGTCGCACCCGAGACGCACGAGTCATGTCTGGCCGTGTCAGCCCTCGCGCTAGCCGCACCTGGGTCGTGCCAGCCGCACGCCCAGTGCCCAGTTAGCCCGGGTACGCACCTATCCCGCGTCCCTCGCGCCCGGCCAGTGCCAGGGCCAGTGCCAGCCGCACTGCCCGCGCCCCGCAGCGCCTAGTGCCGAGGTCAGTCATGCCTAGCCCGTGTCCAGTGCCGTGCCATGGCCCAGCAGGCCCGGCACGAGATCGAGCCATGCCAGCCCGTGACCACCCGGTCCAGTGTGAACCGGTGGTCCAACCCGGTCCGGTCCAGCCCGACCCGGTTCATCTAATTAGCGAACCGGCCGGTTTAGCCGGCGGTTCAAGTCCGTTTTAGTTCGTAATTTTCAGTCCGAATCTTATTCTAAAATTTAAATTATTTTCCGAGCCGAACCAGATCAGTTAAGCATATCAGTGTAAATTCCAGACTTAAAAATATTTTTGTGAACCCTTAATGTGTTCCGTTATATCTGGATATCATATTAAGTCGAGTCGAGCATCTTAACAGTTAAATTTATTAATCTGAGCATAGTACTTAGTAATTGTTTATATTATGTTACAGTTTGATCAGTTCACGACTATCAGCACTTCCAGTTTCATATCTTCAGTACAGGTGGAGACTCAGACTGGGTATTACATTGATTATAATTACGATATCATGTTCAAGGTATGTCAATTATGTTTGTCCACTTGGAATGGATGTTGGCCGGTTCAGGTTGCCATAATTCCGTTCTAAGTTCTAGTGGCGTCATCTACCACTAGTATGTGCACATGGATTCCGGCAATCATTGTTATCATCATTATCATTATTATCATGGCAGCCGGTAGATTCACGGATCCCGGTCCGGTTTATACTGTTGACCAGGAAATTCACGGTTATGTTATATGTTTTTTATCATGATGTACTATTATTATTGCTGTTTACTTTAGTATGAGTTCCTACGGAGTACAGTGGTACTCACACCCCATTTTATCAAAAAAATAAATACTTATCTCGTGCCATCTTTTAAAACTGAACATATCACATTAAATAAAGACTAATGATGCATGGTTTGCTCGAGAGAAGTTGGCTATATAAAGAGATGATTTGATATGGCCCTAAAATGCACACCCGAGAGCGTTTTCGATTATTACATGAACTTAGACCTATAATTTGACCTTGGCATGATATATATAACATCATAACAGGGTTAGAATCATATTACCCTTTGATTGCCCGAAGAAACTTGACAAGATGTTGATGATGGTTTGGCCCTTTTTCTTCTTCTTGCGCGCGTACGGTAAGTTGAGTTTAAAAGATCTTAATCTTGTTTAGAGTTTGCTTAGGAGAATGCTTAGGTTATGTACTAAAAATATGTCCCAACGTTGGATTTGTATAGCGGTGAAAGAGGGAAAAACGTGAGGTAAAGCTCATGACCAATGAGCTCGTGCCATTTTCCGCGTGCTTAGGGCCTTAGGTGTAGTTTTCCTAGCTTAGTCATCACATACTTGGCACAAGAAGGCCACTTGTGCTAAAGATGATAGATATCACGTGATTTGCTCCAATCTTTTGTCCACTTGAGTTCATTAAACATTTAAGCACGCTTAGGGCTCGTTTATGCGTGATTACTCTAGATTAAGGCGATTAGAAGAAAATTAAGCACCCTAGCCGTGCCATGAGAAATGTTTAAGGACATATGATAGTAGAATGATTACTTAGGCTTAAAATGAACATAATTGAGGTACTTAAGGAACCATTAAGTACGATTATGCGTATGATTATGCACGATTAGTGCAAGATTAGCACATTTATCGCTCGATTAAATATGATTTAATTCGATAATATTTTTATCGGGCGATTGAACATAAATTGACTTATACTTTGGATTCCGAAAATAATATGAACATTACGAAGCTAAGTACGTAATTTACATTAGGTAAAAATGGGCTATTACAATTGATACCAACTGTAACGCCCCGCCCTAACTTAATTATCAGAGTGCGATTATAAGACATCTTTTTAAAATAGTTTGAGAAAATTATTCGGAGCGTTACTAAAACATTTATTTTATCTTTTAGAAATCCGTTACGACCGTTTAAAAATTTACAACAAAAACGGATTTACATAATATACAATCCGACTATAAAATCGGATCAAAAGTCAAAGTTTGTCAAACAGTAAATTCAGCGGAATATAGCGTGGTAAAATATACAACAAAATATTTAACTTCGATCCACCCGTCAACTTCACAGCTCCGGACCGACTTCATGACCTGAAAAATTTTGATAAAATGGGGTGTGAGTACCACTGAGTACCGTAGGAACTCATACTAAAGTAAACAGCAAAGTGCTAAAAGTTAATTCATATACTAGAAATGTTTATTACAATTATGATATAAGTGTAAAATCTATTCCAATATATCCCAATCCGTTACTATCTCTCCTTATTATTCTACTGTTTTATCAAAACAGAATTCATGAGTATAATTCGATCTAATTAATATATTCATTAAATTCTAACATAGGTAGATGAGCACCTTGTTCAAAACCTCAAATTTGAAACCAACCAAAAATAACAATAATAAATTGATAGAAATGTGTGCCACTTGAAAGTTCTTGCAATCGATTTATACTAAAGAACCAGGACGTGCTCTGCTAAAAAAAGCCGAAGCAGTAACCTCGCCATAATAACAGCTCAACACAAACTTTTTCGTCCTAGGACAACATACATAGCCTATAATGCAACAACAACAAAACCTCGAACCACAACTATGTTCGATGAAGTTGTATACTTTTGTGAACCTTAAACGGTTCTTTGTTTTATCTTTTGATGGCTAAGGTTCAGATGTCTCGAGTTCAAAACTAAGTTGATCCTCTTGCTCCAGCTTATATACTTTGAATAATGCTAGATTGGTATCACCTGTAAGATAACAAACAGACCACAAGTTAGAACTATATAGTACATACCAAATGTAGTCTGACAATAAAATAAAAAATAAAAAATAAAAAAGTAAATTTCAATTCTAGTCCTGTATGTTCACTATCCTAACTTTTTCGTCTTCTTCGAAATGTTTTTTTGATTTTCGTCCCTTATATTTGCAGAAAGATTACAAAAAGGTCCTTTTCGCAACAAAAACGTTATTTATGTTTTGAAAAAATGTTGCAATTTCGTCCCTTATGTATGCTCGTGAACCTTTTTGCAAACATCAGGGACGAAAAACAAAAATTAATTCGAAGCAGACGAAAAAAGTTCGGGTAGCAAAACATACATGACCAAAATTGCAATTTATTCAAAAAAATAAATAAAAAATAAAAATGTTACCAAATGTGATGAGATTTCCAGGGACTGCTGAGGCAACAACTCCAGGCTGTAGGCGTCTTTCGTCTATGAATGTACCGTTAGTGCTGTTCAAATCCGTAATCAACAGATTCTCCTCTGTCCTCTGAATCCGGGCGTGTAAAGCAGAGACTACAAATATTTTAACCAAATAAAATGTAAATTTACGAAAAATTTGTATATGTACAAAAGTAAGAACAATGTATACATATCTTAGTACCTGTCGGCACTGGAATAACTATATCTGCTTTCTCATAATCACGCCCAACAGTGACAACATTCTGAGCAAATGTAGAAACCAACCTAGTCAGAAAAAATATGCCTTGCGCTTGAAAATGACAACTAAGGATAAAAAAATCCGAAAAAAAATGACTTACGGAAAAAATTTCACAGAGTTCGGGTATCTCGACCTTATAACCTATGTGCCTCGAGTCACCATCACCTAGCAAGTAGAAAACAATGACTTAATAATGGACTAGATCAAAATTGCAAGAGTCGCCTCTCATCTGCTAATCATTGTGTACATTTGATTAATACGAACCCGCAAAATCTCAGTCAAGATCAATTATTTCTTTAGTGCTGAATATCAATTAACGGTGTGCTAAAATGACGTCATCACACAACGTCATCATATACATGTGCATTCACCGACAGTGTCAAAATAGATGATGAAAGACCCCATATAGCTGCCAACAAGAAAAGCAACATCACTCCAACTACTATTTTCTCCATATAATTTACTAAAAATCTGCGGTTAAAATAAGCACATTGTTCATTCTTGATCAGACCAAACATTTATATTCATAAAAAAATCAGATTAAATGGAATAATGTTTCATATTTGAAGAGAAGATGATTTACCCATGGGTTGAAGAAGCCATCTCACAGACCCATCAGCAGAGGAACTTTCATAACCATTAATGGCTCCAAATTTCCTCAACTGCCTCAGGCTATATTTTGATTTTCTGGGCAGGCAGTTATACCCCGTAAAGTTGGCATTTTTATGGGCCAAAACAACTGATTTGGCCGAGGAAAATGTCCCGTTGGCAAAAGAATTGGTCTTGCCATATGAGGAAACTGAATGGGAACTCACATCCATTTCTTACTTACAGAGGTTTTTTCTTTTCTTGGTGCCTGTTTTGTTCTAGTTTTTTCCCGAGTTTGTGGTAAATAAGTAGGCATAAAGACTTGTTGGGATAAATATCTTGTTGAGCACAGTGGATGAGTGAACGAACATGTAAAGAAAAAATAAAGGTGAAAAACAACGAGCAGTGGGCATGTGCAGTTTTCCAGTACGTGGCGCTTTTTTGAGGCTTGAAGACAACTTTTGGGGGTGACAGAAAAAGATTTTGGCTTTAGATATTGTTGACCAACAAAAGCAAAGGCCAATCACAATTCAAACACTTTCTAGAAGTCTGAAATTTTGTTCCAATCCAATCTAATCGTAATTAGGTATGGGTGGTAATTTGTTTCTGATGGGCAGAGATCACAAGTGTTTAAAGATAAACATGATGTGATCGAGCTATATAAGTCGAGAAAAAATTGCAAGTACAACCATTTTTGGCCACCCCTTTTTTCAAATGTAAAAATGGTCTTCTCTAAATTGTCATTTTGCAAATTTGGTCCCTTATGTATCATCAATTTGTCCAAATTCAGTTGCAATTTTAGGACAAATCACAACTGCATTTAGCCTAAATCAATGGACAGATCACAAATGCATCCAACTTTTCCAGTGAAATCAAGATAATGAGCGTGATATTAAAATTTCATTAAGTTCACATAGCACGTTTAATTAGCTAATTTCCCGCGTGGATTAGAAAGTGCAAATCAGGTTTCTTTTGCCTGTGCTTCGACATGGCCAACCATGTCCCATGTCGTTTATGACGGGCTTTCTAAAAGATCACAGAAGAATTGCATCTGAAACAATATAGGAAAAACAATCATTCCCGTTAGAAACTATTTTTTAAGTACAGATTTATCATCTAAAATCAGCCCTAATGCAATACAATTTAATCACGTAAAACAATAACAAACCTAAAAAGGAACATTAGCAATTGTGTCCAGACACTGTCATTTACCAAAAAACAAAAGGCAAGAATAAAAAATTATGAAAGGCTTAGTTTTACAAGAGGATTTGCAGGCATTTTAGTACATTGATTTTCAGTTACATGAATAATGGCTATGCATTAGGTATAATGGTATTCAAGTCCGTTGCCTCACCCTTCTGCCACTTGTATCACCACCATCAGATAGCTGAGCCCACACACTTCTCAACTTGCCGCCACTACTGTTGCAGTCTTCATCACAGCCTGCCACTGTCTTCAAAAGCTCCGACTGTAAGGCCGGGCAATTCTCCTTCAGATACTCAAAACCATCCGAACGCATAACAGCTGCAAATGGAAAACTTGTCATACAGCGTAAAAACAACATTGTTGAGCTCTGCAGATATTTGTTGTCAAAAAACTGAAAATATTGTAGTTTCGTACCAAGCATCAGACCATAACATTCACTTATTTAATTAACCCTTTTAATAGTTGTGAAAAATATTGGTAATAGAGGTGTTTGACTCGGCACTTGAGCTTTTCAAAATGTTTTACAGTGTGCTTGAGAGCTTCTAAGCTACTTACAGGCATTTGTTAATCTTTTTCAAAATATTCCTATGATATCCAAGAGATGTTATGGTCGGTCATTCAACCTGAAAGAACATAATGGATCCTAACTTATTTGTAAATTAGAAACTGCTTTACAAGTTAGTACTATTGACTGGTACAAAAATCAGCACAACACTAGAAATGCGCAGCAGCGGGGAATTTAAACTGACCCCAAATATTTTGTAATTGATGCATGCGGGTAAACATTTTAACAAGTGATTTCGATAAAATATATAGATGCATATTGTTCTATCTTCGGTGGACATATTTTACTTCATGCTACAAGTACAATTTCCATATGCATTATGGAGCTCCTCTTGGTACAACAATTGCTTCTCGTTGGTCATTTTTCCATCAATCAGCTTTCCAAATTTTATCAAAATATGCATGACTTGAAAATTGCACAATACGATAGATAGACCATAGTATGTAGCATACAAAAAATTCAAAATTACAAGGAAACAGAATATAAAAATTTCAAAAATACAAGGAAACAGATTAACTTACAAACTAGTAAAAATCATCAAGTTTCCTATTCATACAGCACTGCGAAGGCTCTTGGAAATGGCTCAAGAGGAGTTTTTCATCCCACCTTAATACTTCAGATATTTTGAAAATTTAGAATTTTCAACTGCTCGAATTCTGTTTTTTTCAACTAAAATGCAAAGGTTGTTTATTTGGAAAATAACCCTATTTTGATAGGAAGAACGAGAGAATTTTTTTTAAAAAAATAATAATAATCAAATAATAGTGTAACATAGTTTATGATGTTTTGCTACTTTCTCTGGACACAGAGTTTTACCATGCATCGTCATATCTTCTACTAGTAAGCTATAATTGTTGAAGTATCTTTTCAATAACACCTCAAGTTCTCAAGTTCGTTGCACAACTACAATGCCAATAGATGAACAAAGGAGTAACAATATCAATAACATTTTTCTCATTCAAAGCACATATTACATTTTGGTTAATACGTGAAGAAGAGAAAAAAATGGCCACAAGGCATATACCTGCCAGGTTCTCTGCAGCAAATCTAAGGCAAATAGCTTTCAATTCTGCAGCACGAAAGCGATCTGCCAAAGCAAGCATATGTGCAACAGAATTTACCGATATATCCTTGCAAAGATGAGATTCACACATCCGTCTCAGTCTTCCCAAATCATAGCGATCAGCTGCTGCGAGCAACTTTGCGGTTAATGTGTCAGTTACCAAAGGGGACGAAGAAGAGCTAGATGCCATCAGTTCATCTTTAACCAAGGTATCTCTATATATAAAATGCAGCATTGCCTGTGACACAAAAGGTTGATAAGGCTAAGAAACTCATTTGACAATATAAAGGATGCTATTTCATAACTTGAATTTAACCAAGAAACGCGGTTTATAGAGGTTAGGGCTGTTGAAGCAGATCAAAATGGACTCAACTAACCTTAAAAACTTTAGGTTCCATGTCTGATACTAAAATCTCTTGTTTACCGTAATCCGATTCTTCAAAAACTTCAGATTGAAATATAGGGGAACGGGCAGACAACACCAACTTGTGGGCATGGAATCTCTCCCCAGACACATTAAAAATAACATCAGAACCCTCCATATTTTCTAGAAGCATACCAAAATCTGACCCAATATTAGAATCTGGAACCTGAATTGAATGTAATCCCGAACAATCAATAGCAGAAACCACAACCCCAACAGTACAGTTGATCTTCAAGCAATCATCTTTGAGATAATCTGATGTTTCGAGCATCGCTCTCCTGTAAAAACGCTTGTATCCCCTGTATTAATTTAAGTAAAATACAGGGTCAAATTAATGAAAAAAAACTGAAAGAACACTCTTTCATAAACAAATCATTTTTTTCAAATACAATACATAACCAAATCCTAGCTTTCTCCTTCACCATAAAACCAGAAATCCTAAAAGAACTGATGTAAGCCTGCATTCAGAACCTTTTCTATGGCTGAAAAGTTCTTGCAAATGCCAATGTAAAATTATACACATGCTTCCAGATTGACTATTGCTGACCATTTAGTTATTCCATAAACATCTTAGCCCAGGTCCAACCACAGCCATTAATTACCAGCGAGGCTCCTCAGCATTGTAACTCAATGTCCAGACATACTTAAAAGTACTAGATGTAGGCGACAACATCGCAGTTAAAATCTTTGTTGATATACATTCATTACAAGAAACTGCCATTAGACTGTGAACAGGAAACCCTAAGGTATCACATATTTAAAAAAAAAAAAGAAAAAAAAAGTAATATCCTACTGTTTTGCTGCAGTGCAAATCATCAACTAACCAATTGACTTATCTGCTCCAGTTTATTTGGCTTTCACTCTCTTCCAACCTCGTATGTGGGTCATACACACGTAAATAACAAGCCAAAATCAGGGAAGTTGAAAGAGGAGAATCAAATTCTGTTAAGTCAATACCATCAAAACCATCTATTTATCTCAGGGGTCAGCTTTGTAAAATAAACTTTGTTGTTATACTATCTTCTGTCAATATGAATGCCAGATATGAATTGATGAAGAAAAACTTATGGAACAGACAAAAGAGTTAACTAATGAATATTGTATTTAAACTTCTCTTTTAGGTCTACAGAGCAGCAGTCAAAAACTGGAACATGAAATGACAAAACATCTGAACAAATTACTTTTCTATTATGTATATATCATCACGAGCACTTTCTTTCATTCGATGTTATCAATACTTATCTAGCCGTATTGGCAAGCTTTTGGCCTCCTAAGATATTTGCATTCAGTTAGACGTACATGCAGAATGAGAATTTAATCAATTGATAACCAAGCCAAATGGTGCACAAACTTAATTGCTATAGATGCAAGTGCAATGTTAAAATGTCTTCTGACTTGATTATTTGTGCCTCCTATACTTCTTTTCAGGTGACTTAATCTATAATTATGCCACTACAAAGACAAAACAAGTTTCTCTTGAAATTTCTCATCAAAACATAAACGTTCAGTTTAATATATAACATAAAGCATCTGAAATGCAGGGGCACAATCTGCAAACCCTAGAAAAAAACCTAATCTCTTTCAAAAAACAAAAAATTCACAATTCCAAAGCAAAACTCAAAGACAACGGGATCAATTAAGAGTTTACCACATACTGCCACGGTATTTAAGCGTGTAGGGCCCGCTCTCGAGCGACCGATCGAAATGGCTATGCACCTTATGCTTCTCCTTCCCGCTCTGGTCAACAAGAGTCAACTCGAACAGCGCACGGACGTCCGTACCCTCGCTCGCCAGCGCGATGAAGACCGACACGTAGGTGGAATTGTCCTCCGGGTTCTTGCCGTCGGGGTAGAAGTAGATCGCCCATTTGTACCCTCCGACGGTGAAATCGTCGCTGGCTATGTGTTTGCCGACGCCCATGCCCTTGGCCAGAGAGTATCCCTGGATCACGAAATGGTGTGACCCGTTTATCGTCTCCGTCACGGAACGGGAGCTCGTCGGCGAGATCAACGACGAGCTCTGGTTCGGGGTTTTCTCCGGCGTCTCCGACATTCTTCCGGGGAGGGGGTTCTCGTATTTCCTCCTTTCCTGATTTGGGTGAGGTGAGGTTAGGGTTTACTGGTTCGATTGTTTGAGAAGGGGTGTTTAGGTTGTGGTCGTCGGAATTATTGGTGGAGAAGAGACGCTATAGCCTATTGGGGTACTTTTGCCGGTTTCGATCGACCGGGGATTCAATTCGAGTTGAAAGATGGAGTTACAAATCCACCCTTGCCCGGTTATTTTTAAATAAACTGTTTCTTGAAATTACGTGTACATCTTTCTTTTTCTAGAAAATCTATATATATATAATTACTAGCTAATAACATTTAATAAAACTTATTTAATTTTACCTATGTAACAATTTAATAATTTTTCCTCCAAAAATCGTTACATTTTGATGTATTTAATCTTTCATTTAATCATTAAATAATTAATACTCATCACTTCAAAATTACAAAAATCATTTTAAACTTTTGATTAATGACAGTTGACCATATAATGTGTTGACCGTATAATGTAATTAGATGTTATTATTGTTATTACATTTAAATTTTTTTTAAAAAATAAAAAATATATTTAAAATTCCTAAATAAATAATTCACAAATAAAAGACGTACCAAAATATACATTACATCCAATCAGATAAACGCAATTTAAAAAAAAAAATATTCCAACTCTTTTCATTGTAAATTTGATCTGCAAAAAAGTGAAAGAAAAATAATTAATCATTATATGCATACAGACTCACAATAATTTATTTATATTTGTGCAAATGCACAGGTCAAATACTAGTAGGACATGATCGTGAAGGTTGCGATTCAATATACATTAATTGGAAATTATTTATTTAAACAGAAAAGNTTTTTTTTTTCGGAACGATAGAATCTCTCATTAAAACATAAGAAAAACACAACAAGTCTTACAATACAAGTCGGAATCATGGGAGCTCCATTCGCATGTGGGCTAGACAAGAATATAACAATGCAGCTAACCTATTATGCAGCTAAAGGGGATAAAGCAGTAGACCGTCACTGATCCTTCACCCCATAATCCCTACATAACAGCTAGCTGCATAAAATAATCCAACTACTGACCGAGATCCTAGCTGGAAATAACCAAAGCAATAAGGAAAAAGAATAACCCTACTAACACTTCAAAATAGCTTGCTGCTCCTACTGTCCAAATAGTCTATCCAATCTTGGTGGCCATATGGACAATAATGTTCGCAGGCCTTCTAACCTTGTCAAAGAGCCATAAATTGCGCGATTTCCAAAGCCACCATAATATATACGTAGAAAGCTGAATCCTGGCTTCAGAAACCTCACTCTTATCTAACTGACAAATATTCCACCACCAATCTTTGAATTTCTCCTACTGTTGTGGCCCCTCCCATTTCATCGGAGCAATCTTCCACACTTGCTGTGCCAGACTATAGTGAAAAAAAAAGATGTTCTACAGATTCATTGGCTTCACCACATAGACAACATTTTCCATCCACTGTAATACCCCTATGTACAAGGTTCATCTTGATAGGCAAAGAATTATTGCAACATTTCCACAGAAAGTGTCTAACCTTTCCCATAACTGGAAGCTTCCAACTCCTTTCTCTGATCAGGGTATCCCTTGCCAAATCCTTACTCCCTTGAGTTATTCCCAAACTAAGAAATTTTTCAGTGATCAGCTTAGAGTAAGTGGCCTTAACTGTAAATTGACCCTTCTTGCTGAGAGTCCAGATCCATCTGTCAAGTGTATTTGGGTGAACTACAGCAATATCAAGAATTGTTTCACTGACCTGAGGTGGAAAGGTTTTCCTGACCTTAGTTTCATCCCATTTATCCCCTTCTTCATTCATCAAATCCCTGACCCACTTCATATTCCTTTTAATGCCAGGCAGTAGCTCTACTTCTCTTTATCTGAGTAGGAATCCAGAATTTATCCCAAATCCTGGTACTTTTCCCATCTCCTATCTCTTTTCTTATCCATTTGCCACATTTGACCAGAACCTTCAACCAGGAACTCCATAACCATGAAGAGGTCTGTTTCTGCTGAGCTTCAAAAATAGTAGTGTTAGGAAAATATTTGGTTTTTAACACCCTACTCACCAGACTGTCAGGCTCAGAGACTATCTTCCACAATTGCTTAGCTATTAGGGCTTCATTAAAAAGTTGTACATCTTGAAACCCTAATCCCCCATGCTTCTTTGCCAGTGTCAGTTTATTCCAATCAACCCAGTGCATCCCACTATGTTCTTCTGTTCCTTTATTCCACCAGAACTGTGCAGTCAATTTAGCTATTTCCTTGCATAACCCCACTGGCAACACAAATGAAGACATAGAAAAGACTGGTAAAGAATTTATGACTGCTCTAATCATAACTTCCTTTCTTGCTGTGGATAGGCACCTGTTCTTCCAACTTGACAGCCTGGATTTAACCTTTGATAGCACATAGTCAAATGCCTCCAGTTTAGATTTGCCAATTCCCAGTGGGAGCCCCAAATATCTTGTGAACGAATGAGCAGTGATCCCATTCATGAGAGAGCAGCATCTGTTTGAATCATAGGTGGGGTATTCTTGCTAAAGAACACAGTTGACTTAGCTAGATTTATTCGTTGTCCAGCAAAATTCTTGTAATACTGCAAGATTTGAAGCAGCTTAATTACTTGACTGACCTCTGCCCTACAAAATACAAGAATATCATCTGCAAACATAAGATGTGTTAGTTCAGGGCCTCCTCTTGACAACCTTATCCCTTTAAAGCAGCCCTTCTCATCTTCCATTTTGGTTTTTGCAGACAATAACTCAGAGACAATAATAAATAGGTAGGGAGAGATAGGATCCCCCTGCCTTATACCTCTTGAAGCTGTAAAATATCCCTTAGCCTGCCCATTGAGATTAAAGGAGTAGGTAGGGTACTGAATGCATGCTAATACCCATTTGATAAACTTAGGATGGAACCCCATTCTCACCATGGTTAGATGAATGGCTTTCCATTCTAAGCTATCATAAGCTTTCACAACATCCAGTTTCAATGCCATAAAATTGTTCTTCCCACTCCTATGTCTGTTTAAAAAATGAATAATCACATTATCAAATAAGCATCTCCCAGATAAGAATGCAGACTGATTCTCAGAAATACACACATGCAAGCAGTGTTTCAACCTTAAAGCCAGAATTTTAGATATCACTTTATAGAAAACAACACATAAGCTTATAGGTCTAAATTGTGTAATAGAAGTAGGATTGAGACATTTAGGCACAAAAGTAATGAGGGTGTGCTTCCAGTACCTCAACATTTGGCCAGAATCAAAAAAGTTTCTCACAGCAAAACATATGTCCCCTTTAACTATTAGCCAGTAATGTTGGAAGAACAATCTTGTCATCCCATCTTCTCCAGGTGCTTTCTCAGGGTGGATACTGAACATGGTCTTCTTAATGTCAACTTCTTCAACTGGTGTGATTAGCAGTCTATTCATTTCCTCTGAAACAGTTTGCTTTATGTTGGGCAACAGTTCATGGCCATCTTTAGAGCCCCTGGAAGTGTACAGCTCTCCATAATACTCAGTGACTGCCTTTTCAATTTCAATAGGATTGTCAGTGATCCTATTCTCATCCACTAGCAGTCTCTCAACAGCATTCAACTTCCTTTTTTGCACCGTCAAAGCATGGAAAAACTTCGTGTTATTGTCCCCTTCTTTCAACCACAGAGCCCTAGCCTTTTGTTGCCAGAAGGCTTCTTCTGAACAGTTGGCCTCATTCAGTTCCTTCTGGACCCTCTCCCATGCCTCCCAGTTTCTATCCCCTCCTTCTTGCCTCATTTCTGCTAACTGTAGAGACAGTCTTTCAATTTTAGCAGCATTCTCAGTTTTGAAATGTCTACTCCATATGAGCAAAGCCTCTCTAACCTTCTTTATTTTCTCTTTGGTCACAAACATAGGGGTTCTGATGTTGTACTCTCCCAAGCTGTTCTGATAACTTCCTGTGCTTCCTGCTTCTGTGCCCATCTTTTATCAAATTTGAACCTTTTCTTTTGTCTGTTTGGTGTGCTTCTTGAATCAAAAATCAGCATACAGTGATCTGAAGCACTCCTAAACCAGCTGGTCACACTAGTATCAGGAAACTGAGAGAGCCACCCCAGAGAGACAAAAACCCTATCCAACACCTCTTCTACAAACTCTCCACCCACTCTGTTATTAGTCCATGTAAATTGCTGTCCCCTGAGAGGAATCTCCTGCACATCCATTTTGGCCAAGAACTCATTGAACCCCCTATTACTTCCATCAGGTCTCTGCCTCCCTCCTTTTTTTTCTGTAGGGTCCCTTAAATCATTCCAATCTCCAGCAATCCACCACTGATCTCCCAAATTAGTTTTCTCCACCAATAACTGCTCCCATTGTGCCTCTCTCTCTGATTTGATTGGACTCATATACACAAAGATTGCCCATCTAGTACTGGAAAATTCCTTAGTTTTGTACTGGACAACTATGAAAAAAAGAGTCACTAGTAATCTTCATAATTTCCATCTCCTCATTCCACAACAGTAAAAGCCCACCACTACTACCTCTAGGCTCAACACAGAAAAACCTATTCTTAAACCCCCGTTTAACACATACCGATTTAGAGAAGTGTTTTGGTTTTCTTACCTCTGACAAAAACAAAAAGTTTGGGTGGTGGAACCTTAAGGCTTCCTTGATCTGGGGAACTGTAGAGGGCCCACCCAGACCTCTACAGTTTCATACTTGAGCCTTCATTGATCACTTGAGGGCCCTTTGAGGCTGGCCCTCAACTCCTGGTTTTGAATATTTTTGGGTTTTTTATCTGCTGGCTCAATTGAAAGGTATTCTTGTTCTTAATTCATTGATACTTCCTTCTGGTCCCTATGTCTCTTACCTACCAGTATATGGTCTCCCATTGTAGTATCTGTTCCCTCCCTAGACATTCTGTCAGCTTTTTGAACATTTCTCCTCCAAGTCATAAAAAAAAAAAAAATTGATTTAAAGATTGTGTTGGTGGTTATAAATAGATGTAAGATAAAATGTATGCATTAAAGTTGATACAATCACAAAGGAAAAAATTATAAATACAAAAGATTTGAAGTTTGAATATATATTGAATTTTTATTAAAAATATATAGTAATCGATGTCTTTTAAACTTTTACTATTTAACTAGTACAACACACGTGTAATACAACGGGTGTTTGTTAAAAAAATATTCTTAAATTTTAAAAGTAGTGAAAAAAAGTGTACTTAAAATTTAAATACTTTTTACAATTATATATATTATTATATATTTTAGAACGATATTTGTTACTTGTACAGCTTACTTTTATTATATTATAAATTTTTTTCTAACTTATACCATATAACTAATTTAAATATAAATAATTAATTAATTAATAATATTATTTTTCTAAGTACTATTAATAAGTGATTTTATTATTATTATTAAAATAAATATAATTTATTTATTTTGTACATACAATATGGATGTTAAATCAAAACTCATCAAATGATGATTAATTTGATATATCTATCTATATATAATAAGAATTACTATTTACCAAAAATATTAGCAAAAGAATAGGTCTAAATTTAATGCAGCCTATAAATAGTAAGTTTTATTATTTTTCTTGTTTTTTTCTTTAAAATTCATATAGCATTAAATGTTACCTTAAATTTTGGGCTTTAGTTCATATCATTATTTAAAAAATCAGGCTAGGATTTATTAAGTGCGTATGTTTTTATTTTTATTTTTTTCTTAGAAAAAATGAGCAACATTAGAATCTCGGTCTCTATATTTATAAAATCTCAATTCAAAATATAACAAAAGTTTTAGAATCTCGGCCTTTATATTTGTGCCTTTAAAAAAATATTGAACACTAAAAAATATTCTTTAAATTGCATAATCAATCAGTTAATTCTAATTTTTTTAAAATTTCTATGTTTATTTTTTACTAATATGCATAAAGTAAAAATAATTAATTCATCTTTAGATATATAATCTATAATCTTAATATACTATCATTTGGTGTAGACATTTATTATATGAATCATAAAATATTTTTATTTCATAAAATCAAATATATTTAAAGAAAATAAGAAAATTTCTTCGGATCAATCGAGTGATTGAATTAGGGTATTGCCCAGGTTGATTGTATTACTTTTAGGTGATATTTAAAATAGTCAAAAAATTTGACACAACACTGTTGGTCCCAAGTGACTAAGTTATGTATCAGTTCGACCACACCAAATAGATTATTGAACCTAAATATAAATTTTATATTGAAAATATTTTATTAAATGAATGTGATGTAGTCAAACTTCAAATAATCGACTGGTGTTGACGGATTCGAGAGCAAATATTTTATTAACGCGAACTAGACTGGTTATAAACCAGTGCTTGATCCATCCGGTCGGACTGTGTCCAACCCAGTATTCAAAAACAATGAATAAATCATGATTAATGCATGTTATATATATATTTAATTTATAATACAATCATAATATTATTTTTCCGTACATCGCACGGGCCACGCACTAGTTATATATGTAAAACCGATAAGTAATACAAAAGTTATCAACTTTTAAAATATATTTACAATTTAATTTTTATAATATGGAATAATATTAAAATACAATTAATACATCTAAAGGACCATAAATAATCAACATATATATAGATAACCGGGACCTAATTGTTTTTGGATTGGAAGTAATTAAAATCTATCCAAGCCGAAATAATGAAGCATTAAATTTTGCCACAAAAGATCCCAAAGCATGCGAGTCTGCCACTTAGACTCAATGCATTCAAGAATTATATATAAGGAGAATTGTATTGATAATAATGGGAAGAAAAAATAAAATTAGATGACTACTTCTACTAGGCCATGAACCAGCTCAGAATCATTTCAAGGAGCGCATAAGAAGCGATCTCAATTTTTTCATCAGTTCTGAGTCGAGACCAAAGGTGAAAACAATTTACTCTTAGATCGAGTTATCCTAAACTCGACTAAAATGGGAGGAACCAAATAATTGGGAAAAAAACACGCCAAGCAGAACAAACCGAATAATGACCAGGCCGAGCGAATCGGTTGGTCGAACATAGCAGCAGAAAGGTCGAATGTAGGTCGAGCGCCAATGCAGAATAAGGAGTCTTTAGGTCAAAGAAGACGTGATGGGTTCAAAAGGGCAACGACAGGTCAAGCTAGGGTCCTCGAATGACCTCTTGGAAACTTGACCTGAAGGTATGGTTAGTCGTGTGATCGACCAAAAGGATAGCACCTAAGCTCGTAACGCGCATCATTCTAACTCAACAGGATTCGAGCTGGCTACACGATTAGGCGGTCTAAATAGAAAGACTAACAGATAAGAAAGAATATTAAGGGAATAAGGACCACATGTGGATAGGGCCACGTGGCCTAACAGAATTGGGCAGTGCGAGCAGAAAAATATGATTGTACTACCGCTGCGTCCCCCTCTCCAAGGCTTAACCGTCTAAATTTTTTGATATAGTTACGACAATCCTTCTCGACAAATGTCATATTATCGTATCCACCCGCTTCAACTACAACAGAACTAAAGCTTTTATGCAATGGAATTCCGGTCACGTCATTCACTTCAAGCCTTCTCTTTACACTTGCACTCAATTCTCTATGGCATCGATATAATCTCGACTTAGTTGGACTACATTTGTGATTATGGTCAAGGTAAACTGTGTTAATCTCCAATAACCACGATCATCTAAAGATGTCGAGATTCGAGTTTTGCACTCAGTCTGGGTTGTTGGTTGCGACCTCAATGAGCCATTTTTGCCACTCATTCTTTTTCCTTCCCGACTACATGTGAAAGTAACATATCGTAAAACGTCATCATCATCCTTTCTCGAAATTCATTTTTCTCACTAGAAAACCGACACTATAAACATATTTTTTATAGAAATCAAAGACGCCGCCTATATCTTTAAATTCCATACCAGCTTCCGGAGCACCTATATTCATACTACAATCTGTACATTAACATTTTCAATTTCCAGCGATGGTTCATTCTCACCTGCTTCCATTACGATAGATGAAGATGTCTCGACTCTCGTGGTATCACTTGCAGATGGCTGCTCACGATGTCTTCTGGCTTCCTAATAGATTAGGGATTTTGGATAATGACGGTTCAGATGTAAATTCTTTTGTTTTCTATTTTATTTTAATAAAACCGAAGAAGGAATACATGTCCAGCTTTGCTACATCAGTTTGTAAAAAAAAGTTAGTAAAGAAAAGTTGTACGCCAGCTTTTTCCTATTAAAAATGCTCTTATAACATATTCCAATTCAATTTTCCCTTTTTTTGCGTCAATCAATGATTACATTTACGAAAAATGTGAAATGACATGGATCACAGCATTCAGCATAGGTCACTACCAACACAGTAAATTAGTGAATCAGCTTAGCCACCCCCAAAACTCAGTTTCAGTTGGCGGAGGAGAAGGAAACAGATCAATTCAGATCCAATAATTCAAATGTCGTCGTCATCAACCTCCGACACTTGCAGCTCACGCCACTTCTCATGGCTGATGAAATCCTGTTTCTCCAACCCCCACCACCCCCACCGCCCTTCTCCCCTCTCCGCCGCCGACCCGCCGCCCACCTCCATCTCCTCCCTCCCCGACGACCTCCTCCTCGAATGCCTCTCCAGGGTGCCCCACTCCACCCTCCCATCCCTCCCCGCCGTCTGCCGCCGCTGGGCCCACCTCCTCAACTGCCCCTCCTTCCACCTCCTCCGCATCCGCCACCACCACCTCTCCCGCGTCCTGTTCTGCATCTCCATTTCCAAATCCACCCTCTTCGCCGCCGCCCTCCGGTTCGCCGGCGACTCGGAGTCTTCATGGAAGGTCTCGTCGTTTGTCCCGTCGGGGGATAATGCCGACGGATCCGCCTTTTCTCTGTTCTCGCAGTACTTCAGATCGGTCTCCATTGGCCGGAAAATATACATCATCGGCCGGATGGCGATGCTCCGGTGCGACACGTGGACCGGGACCCTCGTGCCCAAGGCTGGGATGGGGTTGGTGAGGAAGAAGTTCGCCGCCGCGGCCGTCGGTGGGAGGATACTCGTTGCCGGCGGCTGCGCCAGATCGTCGGCGGTGGAGGAGTACGACCCGGACGAGAACACGTGGCGCGTGATTACGGACGCGCCCAAGCGGAGGTACGGGTGCATCGGCGCGTCGGCAGATGGCGTCTTCTACGTCATTGGCGGCCTGAGGATCGGAACGGCAAAGAACGAGGGGTCGGTGTGCCCGTCACGCGCCGCCGGGGCGGACGGCGCCCACGTATACGCCAGCTCGATGGACCTGTACGACGTGGAGGCGCGTGCGTGGCTGAGGAGCCGGTCGGTCCCCGGTGGCGGTTGCGTGGTGGCGGCCTGCGCCGCCGGCGGCTACGTCTACATCCTGTCGAGTCACGCGGTGGAGCTGTCGTTCTGGAAGTTCGGCGCGTCGAGGAGGAGCTGCAGCTTTGGGGAGTGGAGCAGGATAAGGAGCCCGCCGCTGCCGGCGCAGGTCAGGCTGGACAGCACGGTGAGGTTCAGCTGCGTTGGGGCCGGGGACAGGGTGGTTCTGGTGCAGGTGGTGGGCTGCATCGACGACTTGCTTCGGCGGAGCGGGCGGTCGGAGAGGGGGCTGAAGGAGGGGCTGGTGCTGGTCTACGATTGCGCCGGCGGAGAGTGGAGCAGGGTGGCGGATATGCCGGAGGTGGTGACACGCGCCGCCTGTGTCTGCGTGGAGTGCTAACAAGAAGGTGGGGCCTTGTGGCGAGTCACGGGGCCTTTGCTTTTGTTACTGTGTGCGTGAAGTTGAAACTTTTGACTTTTTTGGAGTCTCGATGCAAAAAATGTGTGGTGGTCGGTAAATGCGAATGGTATATTTGAATTTGAGTGCTTTATTGGGGGTATTAAAGGTAATTAACGCTGAGCTTACAACAACTCTCAACTCAAGTCAAATTAGTTTTACTAAAAAAAATAATATTTGGAATTTAAGTTTAACCAGTCATAAAAAATAAGAAAAATCATCATTTTTAGAGAAAAATAATATATTTTCATAGCCTATAATCCAGATATCAAATCATATAAATAATATTTTAAAAAGTCCATTCATGATTTCCTGCAAAAAAGTGTAGAATCTATTTTCCATTAAAGAGACAAAGGACATCAAAGTGTGTGGAGGGAATGGAATGCAATTAAAGTTCAACCATTGGCGTGAACGACATACGCTGGAACTTGTTGTGGTTTGTTTGAGTCGTCATTTCATAATTCTAAAGCGCCTAAACAGCAATGCATTTTCTTCTAATTCATATACTGGTGTTTAGATGATTAACAGTTAAACAATCACAATCATACTCTCATATGAAATGCACTTAGTATCATAAGAATTCACCTTTTTATAATGCAATTAAAGTACATCTTATTGTAAAAGTATAACGACATGATTATTAAATAAATTTAATGTAGTCAAACACTAGGTAGACTTATTTCATTAATTTTTCACGGCATAGTATACAACCTAACATCCATTCTGTACTCTCCATCTCATAAAATAGCCGTACGTATTACAATTTAAAAAGGTACAATAGTTGTTAATGAAGTAAAATTGACCTGAGATACGGCAAAAATAAATAGGACAGAATGAGGGTACTGACTGGTTGTAATACTAGATAGCCCCACAATAAATTATTTCCACTCATTTTCTTACAATTCTCCATCTTTATAATTATCAGGACAATTAGATAAGCCTTGGAACACTGTATATTAAAAAAATATGTTATTCGTGAAAAGATATGTGGTTGTTTTATTAAGTCGTACACCGATATGATGAAAGATTGATTTACATTGGCATCTCTTCTATCGTTGATCTTATTTTAAAACGACAATAAAAGAAACATTGCGTGAAAGAGCACAAGTCGTAATGTTCAATCATTTTTTCTATGGACTATCGCTTATATTAGCATAAGTTGCCAAAATCATATATTCATCCGTCTAAAGCAAAATCTGCCTCGACAACGGCTTATGCTGGCTGGTCGTCAAGACTTTGCAGAAAAACAATGCATTTCTAAAATTACAGTTTGCAACTAAGGCAATTCAAAATCTCGGAACCTATGTAGCAATTGACATGCACAAGCCTATTTCATCCACCATTGCATTCCCTTAACAATCAAAGTGAAAAATTGTGCGAAAATGAATAAACCAAACTAACAAAACAATGAATATTCACAAAACACAACCTGAATATTCCAAAGATCATTCATACGTACCACCAACGAAAAACATAAAGTTTTAGATATTAGAAATACCAAGGCCACATAAGGAGGATATTCAAAATCAAAATAATCGAAGTCATTAATCAACAACAGAAGTGTTAGTGGTCTGATTAGCAACAGAGACACTAGATGATGGCGTGATTTGATTAGGCTTGTCAAAACGGGCCGGCGGGGCGGGCCGGCCCGCAGCCCGCCATCTTGGCGGGCCTCTAATTGGCCAGCCCGGCCCACCCCGCCACGGGCCGCGGGCTAGGCGGGCTGGCCCGTCATATATAAAAAAAAAAATAAATAAATAAAAAATAAAAATAAAAATAAAAAATAAAAAATAAAAAAAGAAGAAGGAGGAGCATGATCAAATCGAGGATTGTGAAGAAGAACGGCTAGGATGGGCGGAGGAGGAGAATAACGGGAGGACTGAGAAGACGATCAGATCGGGGCAGAGGAGCATGGACAGAAAATTTCTAGAACTTTTGAAATTTTTTGGGGTTTTTGTATTTGGAAAATTTCTTGTGAGTGTTATTGGCTATGAGAAAAGATTTGCGTGTTAGATCTATTGGTCTTCAATTCACAGATGAAAGATTAAAAAAAAAAAGAAAAATTTTGCTACGCGATGAAGAAGATGAAGAGAATAAGTGATAAGAGGAGAGAGAATTTTACTTCCTTTTTTTTCGTCAGATTTGAGTGTGTGTATTTAATTTAGTAGCGTGTTTGTACCCAAAAAAAATTTTAGTGTCGTGTGTATTTAATTAGTGAGGGTTAGAAGATTGATTGTGTATTTAATTAGGGAGGGTAGTTGGGCTGTTGAGATGGTATATTAAGATGATTTGGGCAAAAAACTAAATTATATAGAGTGGCTAGGCGGGCCAAAGTAAATAGGCCGAATTAATCTATTTAATATATATGGAAAAATTTCATAACTGCCCCTCTTTAAGAAAAATATATTTTGAGTTATATATTTGTTTATTGATCAACTAAGCTAGGATTTTGTAAATAACTAAAGGTTCAAATACAGTGTGGGGCAATTTTTTCGGCAACAACAATCAACATTCTCAGCCCANGAATGAAACTTGTTAAAATGCTTACATCAAAAACTCTTTTCCCATGTGTTTTCATAGTCGATCTACTTGGCAATGGAGATAGAATAGTTTGAGATGAAGAAACACCCCCTTGGGAAGAATGTGGGCCCAAAGCACTCTCATAACTCTCATATAATTTGTACAAGTTTTGCTTCACAAGCGACATAGTCTTTTCGCATTTGACATGATCAAACTCAACTTTGGAATAAAAATACTCCAACATCAAATATTTGATTCTTGGATCAAGAATGGCACCAAATGCAAGCAACTCTTTATATTCACCCCAATACTTGTCAAATTTTCCTTTCATCAACGTGCACATCTCTCTTATAGTCTCATCATCATTCATCATATTTCTCAACAATGCCTCTTGTATTTTCCAAACTTGCATAAAATACATGTTTGAAGTAGGATAAGAAGAACCGGATATCAATTTGGTAGTCTCATAAAACGGCTCAAGGAAATCGCATATTTTCTCCGCCCTCGTCCACTCTTCATTTGAAGGACAAAAAACATAATTTCGATCATGTAATTGAAGAGAAGAGAAAACCCTCTTGTATTCAATGGCACTTTCCAACATCAAATATGTCGAGTTCCAACGGGTCGGTACATCAAGTCTCAAACCCACACCCGTTTCAACACCACCAACCGCTTTTATACATTCTTCAAACTTTTTCATCCTACCTTGGGAGCCTTTCACATATTTAATAGATTCCCTAATCTTTGCCAATGCATCGCTAATAACTTTCACACCGTCTTGGACAATGAGATTCAAAATGTGAGCGGCACAACGAACATGAAAAAACTTCCCATCGCACACTAAGCTCCCATTCAAAGCAAGTTGTTCTTTCAAAAATTTAGACATAGAATCATTGCTACTCGCATTATCAAGTGTCAAAGAAAATATTTTCTTCTCAATCCCCCAATCTTTCAAACATTCAAATACTTTAGAAGCTAATTCAACTCCGGAATGTGGAGGAGGCATGGCATCAAACGAAAGTATTTTACTATTTAGCTTTCAATTTTCATCAATATAATGCGCAGTCAAGCAAATATACCCTTCACTAGTGCATGCAGTCCACACGTCAGAAGTTAAGCAAATTCTACTTTCAAGACTAGTCAAAACATGCTTAAGCTTCGCTTTCTCCCTCGTATACATTTTCGTAATGTCGGAAACAAGAGTATTTCTAGAAACACGAGGAACATTATCCAAGCCCTAATGCCATCATATTCGACAAACGAAAATGGTATATCATGCGTAATTACTGCAGCAGCTAACAAGTCTCGTGAAGTCTTGGGGCATATCTTTCTAGATTGAAGTTTTCCTTCATTATCAACAAACATTTGACCAACATCATGATATTTTATCATTTTGCAAGCTTGTATATGGCGCCTCAAAGTAGAAGTTCCATATCTTTTACCCCCACACTTATACTCTTTTTTACATGCCTTACACATAGCTCTTAATATACCATCCGCACCAAGACCAATTTGTTTAAAAAAATCCCAAACGTCTGAAGTTTCCTTTGGATTAGCTTTAGACGTACCAGACATTTCATTTTCATTATCATCATCCACATTAATGCATTTGTCCAAAGAAGATGGATCCATTATGATTTCAACACCTCCAAAAGAAAAACAAATCAAAATCAACTCATCATTCATCAACTTCAGAATTCAATATATAATCACAACATTGATTCAATTCAATGTCACCCAATTCAATTCACTGACAAATACACACAAATACACCCCATAGAAGTAGAACAGATAGAATCAAAGAGGTTTAGGTTCAGCCATCTTTACCCTTTACCGAAATGGAGTTGCCTTGTCGTTGCCGGCGCCGCTCGGAGACTGCTGCTGCCCCTTGCCGCTAGCCACTCGCCGCTCGACACTGCTGCTTCCCCTTGAAGGTTCGCCGCTCGCCAGTCGCCACACGAGCCGAGGTCCCACCGCTCGAGTCGAAGCTTCGAAGGTCTCGCTGCCCCTTGCCGCTAGTCACTCGCCGCTCGACAGTCGACACTGCTGCTTCGCCTTGAAGGTTCGCCGCTCGCCAGTCGCCACACGAGCCGAGGTCCCACCGCTCGAGTCGAAGCTTCGAAGGTCTCGCCGTCGCCGTCTCTGCCGCTCGAAGGTCGCCGATCAGCCGCACGCCGGAGTTGAGAGAGAGCCGAGAGGAATAAGAGATGAGACTTGAGAGTGAGAGTGAGAGACTAGGGTTAGCGACGAAATGGGCCAAATGGCCCAAATCCCAAATGGCTTCTGTTATGTACATTACATCTGTTCGGGCCTATTCCTTAAATTACATTTTTTTTTTTTTTGATGGCGGGCTGGCCCGCGGCCCGCCCACCCCGCCCCGCCAAAGCCCGCGGCCCGCGCGGGCCAGCCCGTTTAGGCCCGCCATTTGGCGGGCCTATAAAATACCAACCCAACCCACCTGTTTGGCGGGGCGGGGCGAGCTGGCCCGCGGGCCCAGGCCCGTTTTGACAAGTCTAGATTTGATCGGTTTTTTTGACATCACTCCCTTTACTAGGAGGAGCATTCTTTTCTAATGAAATCACTGGCATAGGTATGGTCGCTCTTAGATTCAGGCGCGAGATCAGCCTGACATTCTATGTGATCGGCTCTCTCTTTAATAGCATGGCCTCCTCGTCTTAGTCATGTTAGGTTCTATGAAGAAGGTCGATCAATGTGCATAGATGAATCCAATGAAATTAATCTTAGTGCATCGGAATCTAGAGTAAGTATTAAGAACTTAAGGTTTGAAATTTTCCAACTCTGAGATGACTTACTTGGTCTACGGGACTAAACGAACGATGCTGCCTTTGTAATGCCCGTTTGTTTAATAAGAGTCATCGTATTTTATTTATTTTGCATCGCATTTTATTTTATTTTTTTTGTTATTTGGTCGACAAATTTTGCGAATAAGATTATTATGATTATTTAGATGCACTCGTCTATTTAAATTATTTTTAATTTTATTATTTTTCGTCAATCGAAAAATCGTTCGATTTTCTAAGTCCGATCGCAACTCATTTTGTGAATCCTTTTTTAGCCCTTTTTGTTCAAGCCTAGTTCAAGGTGTCCAACAAATATTTTTCGGCCCATTTTACATCACAAATACAAACTCTCTTGGCTCAATTTCGAGCCATTTGTGTCTTGGATTTTGGCACCAAGTTTGAATTTCAAATTTCAAATAGGGGGCATATTTTTGGAAGGGATTTTTCAGCACAAATCCCTCCCCCTTGACCGGCCTTTATTTGATGCATTAATGTCATCCCATTGTGGTATGACTAGTGTGTAGCCCGTGCGATGCACGGGAAAACAATATTATGATTGTATTATAAATTAAATATATAAATAACATTAATCGTGATTCATCCATTATTTTTAAATTAAACCTTGTTGGACACAGCCCGACCAGATGGACCGAGAATCGGATTAAAATCAGTCTAGTTCGCTTGAATAAAATATTTGCTCTCGAATCCATCAACACCAGTCGGTTGGACTGGTAGGATCGATACGATTTTCTAAATAAATTTTGTTATATTTAAAATTATTTTAAATAAAATTACATATTTAAATAAAATAGAGATTTATAAATTCCCACCGAATGGACAGAGAACGGGTTTAAAATCAGTCTACTTCGCTTGAATAAAATATTTGCTCTCGAATCCATCAACACCAGTCGGTTGGACTGGTAGGATCGATACGATTTTCTAAATAATTTTTTTTATATTTAAAATTATTTTATATAAAATTACTTATTTAAATAAAATAGAGATTTATAAATTAATTATCAATTATTTTAAACATTTAAATTTATAAATTGTTTAGATATCTAAGTAACACATTTTGTTTAAATTTATTACAAAAAATACTATAGATATATATATTAAAATGTTTATAAATTAAAATCTGAATAAACCACAAATGATTTAATAAAATAGCTTGATCGTTTCGATGACAGTCCAGTTCTAAAAACTTATATTTACTGTACACTAATAAATATTATAATAAAATATTATTTAATTCACATAAATATTAATAAAATGATATATAAATATTCATCAATCATTAAACTGTTGTCATAAAAATAAATTTAATACGATTATTTGAAGTTTGGACTACATCACATTCACGTAATAAAATATTTTCAATATAAAATTTATATTTAGGTAATCGATTTGGGGTGGTCGACACTGATATATAACTTAATCACTTGGGACCGACTAAGTTGTGTCAAGTTTTTTGACAATTTTAGATATCACCTAAAAGTAATTCAATCAACCTGGACAATACCCAAATTCAATCACCCAATTGATCCGAAGAAATTTTCTTATTTTTTTTTAAATATATTTAATTTTATGATTCATATAATAAATGTCTACACTAAATGATAGTATATTAAGATTATAAATTATATATCTAAAGTGCATATTAACAAAAAATAAACATAGTAATTTTGAAAAAAATAAAATTAATTGATTGATTATGCAATTTAAATAATATTTTTAGCATTCAATATTTTTTTTAAAGGCACAAATATAAATACCGAGATTCTAAAACTTTTGTTATATTTTGAATTGAGATTTTATAAATATAGAGACCGAGATTTTAATGTTGTTCGTTGTTTCTAAGAAAAAAATAAAAATAAAAACACACACACTTAATAGATCTTAGTTGGACTTTTTAAATAATAAAATAAAATAAAACCCGAAATTTAAAGTAGCATTTAATGTTGTATGATTTTTAAGAAAAAATAAGAAAAATAATAAAATTTACTATTTATAGGGTGCATTAAATCCTGACTTATTTTTTTGCTACTATTTTTAGTAAATGATAATTTTTATTATATATATATATAGAGAGAGAAAGGATCATATGAGAATAACTCTTTATGCGAGAAATGAGAATAAGTTTGGACCATGGGATCAAGCATATCAATGGTTATGATGAAGTCCAATTATGGTCAATCATTAATGGCAATCTGGTAATTATTAACCATAATGTGGTCAAATATGTGTATTTGACCAATAATTAAGGGTATGGTAGTAAATAAACATATAAAGTGGGACCCACTCATTAAATCAATTCAACACACAATTTTCTCTCTCATTTTTCTCTCTCCTCAACCTCTCTTCTCTCCATTTTTACGGATCTGGAACATAAACACACACAATACACACACATACACACACACACACACACAGTCCAGCAGTCCGACCACCACATCGCCGCCGCCTTCCGCCAACATCCATCTGTTCTCGCCCACCTTCTGGCCACTGGAGCATCGCCGCGCAGCCGCCTCCGCCTGTACCTGCACAACCACTGCCGCCTCTCATCTCGCCGCCGGCTTCCTACCTGTCGGCGGTTTTCAGCTTGCCGTCGTCCCCTTTCTCAGCTTGCCGTCTCCATTCTCAGCCCACCATCAGCATCCCGCCACTGCCATCGCCATCGTACAAAATCAGTCCGCCGTCGAGCACCTCCGTCACCACCCGACTCCGACAACGTCGCGGCCGTCGCTTCCAGACCGACCCCCGCTTCCAGCCCTTGCCGTCCGTCGTCTGCTCATGCCGCCTCCGTCAACGTCGAGACCGTCATCCGTTTTAATGTCGTGAAACTTCCGGTCATCTTAGCCGCTCGCCGGAAAATCGCCGGTGAACGTCGGCGGCGCATAACCGGCCAACGTCGGCCGACAAGACCACTGTGAATTTGGCCGAAATATGGCAGTTGTTATATGATGTGTGTTTGTTTGAGTTTTGGGGTTATTTGTGTGAGAATTTGATTTAATCTAGGGGCCTAATTGCAATTTATAAAATTTTATTTTATTTCAATTGAGTACAATTGGCAAATTGATAATATAATAAGAGTTTAATACATACACAATAATACATAAAATGCACTATATTGTTTTTTTATATTTCAATAGAAACTTATAGCTTAATATTTGTATAAAAAAATAATAATAATATTTTTAATATGCTTTTTTTAGTTATTTAAATAAAAAAAATGTCATCGTATCGAAAATATCCCATATATAAAATAATAATAATAGTAATCGAAACCAAATATAAATTTTCGTTCCAAATTTATGTTCGTTGGATCTCGTTCAATTTTGTGCAATACGGTAGACGTTTATGTGCAATTAGTATAACCATTACGTGCATTCACAATACATATAATAATATATATAAAAAAAATAGTATAAATTTTTATTAAAATATATAAATAAAAAAGAATTGGTAATATTTTTCATATAGTTCGCCATGTTTAGTTATTTTATTTATTTAAAAAGACTAAATTCGAGATTTAACCAATTAATTTATTCGATCAATTAGCAAAATTACAGTATTTTTTTGTACACGTAGTGTGTCGTTTTATAAGTTGTACCATGTCGTGTTATAAGGTGCAATGTATTTCCGTATACAGTGCAACATATTGATATATAAAGTGCAATTATGTAGATATATTTTTTAGATTTATACTGCGCAATATTTTCGGCGAGAGTTGCCGACGTTAATTATGTTGATAAAGTGCAACGTGACGTATTATAAAGTGCAACTTGTTGTTTAATAAAGTGCAACATCCCGCTGTATAACATGCATTAATTAATAAATTATGTGTATTCGAAAACTATTTAATTGATATAATTGTACATTGAATTAACTTAAATAATTAAAATGTCTTTTTATTTACTATTTTTATTATAATTTGCTCATTACTATAAAAAAAATTTATGCTATTTTAATATTTTACATTATTGTTATATAATAATTTATATATTATTTACCATTTTTTAGATTTATACCGCGTAATATTTTTGGCGAGAGTTGTTGACGTTACTTATGTTGATAAAGTGCAACGTGACGTCTGGTAAAGTACAATGAGTTGTTTTATAAAGTGCAACATTTCACTATATAAATTGCACTAATTTATGCCTTCCCATATAAATAATTTGCATTCGAAAATTACTTAATAACTATAATTGTACATTGAAATAAATTAAATAATTAAAATATAATTTATTTATTATTTTTATTATATAATTATATATTATTATAAAACATCGTTATATTATTTTAATATTTTTGCATTATCTGTATTTCATAATTTATTTATTATTTAATATGTGCACATCAAAATATATAAGAAATAATTTTTTACTAACTTTAAATAATTATAGATTTGGCCCATGGTTAAATTGAAATATAATTAAAAGTGGTAATTGCAAATAGGTCCTAATACATAACCTAATTCTCAAAAGGATGCCCAAATCACAAAATTCAATTTGTCTCTGAAATCATCTCCTCCCACACCGTTTGGAGCTGCAGACCTCATCTCCGCCACACCGATTTCCGGCAAGATGACTGGATCCAAGATGACAGAGGTCGACGGAAGTTGGCAGGCGGGACGAGGTTGTCTTCTCCGGCGGGACAGCTCGTCTTCTCCGGCGCGACGAGGTCGTCTTCTCCTGCGGGACAGCTCGTCTTCTCCGGTGGGACGAGGTCGTCTTCTCCGGCGGGACATCTAGTCTTCTCCGGCGGTATGAGCTCGTCTTTTCCGGCGGGACAACTCGTCTTCTCCGGCGGGAAGAGGTCGTCTTCTCCAGCAGGACAGCTCGTAACATGTGCACTGACGCGGTCGCCGGAGAAGCCGGAATCTGGTCAGGAAGAGTTGCAGCTGGCGGTGATGTGTGGCAGAGTCGGGGTGGATGTGGGGCGGCAATGTGAGGCGGAGCTGGTGGAGTTCCGGCCGGCGATGTGGTGGCGGCGGTTGCCGGTGGTTGCGGACCTGCGGTGTTGGTCGGCAGGTTGGCCGACGACGGTACCAAT